GTATGCAATCCATGTTAATTCCCAAAGTTGTGTGTAAGACTATAGACTTTATCTATAAAAAGTTTATCTGGGGTCTTGGGGGTAGGAAATGTCATTTAATTGGCTGGAAAATTTGCCAGCTAAAATAAGGGGGGCCTAGATTTCAGGGAGACTCACCTAGTCAACCAAGCCTATATCATGAAGCTTTGTTGGAAACTTATAATTTCACCTAATGATCTGTGGGCCCAAATCATTCGGGACAAATACAACTTCTTCATAAGAAACAACCTTTGCATTGGCAATGGTCAGGATTGCTCTCATTTATGGATAAGCATGCTTTCTTTCTGGCAAAATTTTTACAAGGGGCTTGGTTGGGTCATTGATAATGGCCTAACCATAAGATTTTGGGACGATAAGTGGATACACTCCTTGTATAATCTTAGACACTCTTCTAGTCGGTCTGTTTCTAAATCTGAGTTAGATGAGCATGTGGCTTTGTTTGTTCAGAATGGTCAGTGAAACTAGACCAAGTTTAAGCCTCTGCTTCATAATCACATAGTATAGTCAATTAATCAAATTAACCCTCTTGGAATATTACTAGTAATGGAATTTTCTCTGTGAAGTTTGCTTATAACCTTGCCTCCTTATCCAATTAGGACTAGAATATGAATAAGAATTGTAATATGTTTAATCTGGTATGGAGTTGGCCAAGTCCTCCCAAAATTAATGTCTTTTTGTGAAAAATTTCTCATGGAAGACTCCTTACTAATCTTGAGAGACATAATCATGGTATGACTGACTCTTTTGTTTATTCTAGGTGTCAAGAGGGTGTTGAGACTATTATGCATGCCTTTAGGAACTTTTGGGTTGCAAGCAAATTTGGCACCAGCTAGTCTTCCTTCACTGTTGGGTTTCTTTCTTCAACAAGGGTTTGAGTAGTTGGCTCGAATTTAATCTATCCAAAGATAATTGTCGGTTGCATCCCTACTGGAATTTACTTTTGGAATTACTGTGTAGAATCTGTGAACTAATAGAAATAAGGAAATCTTTTAGAACTCCTTCTTGAATGTTGAGTCCCTCCTCCATAAAATTAAATCTGATATTGACTATCTCTTTTTTTGTGGCAGCTCAAAGCAGAAGACTGGAACTGGGTGGAAGGGAATTGATTGCGTCACCAAATGGCAGCCTCCCTTGAGATTGCAATTGAAACTAAATGTAGATGAAGCTGTTTGCCATATTGCTGGAATTGCTAGCTATGGAGGTCTTTTTTGAGACAATCATGGTAGATTCATTGTTGGTTTTTGTAGATTCTCAGAGCTGTGTTCTTCCTTAGCTGCTAAACTTTGGAGTCTCCATTACAATCTGTAGTTGGTTGTCTCCAAGAAAATCTATCTTGTTTGGATTGAGTGCAATTCCAAGAAAGCAATATCCTTAGTTGTTAATCTTTAGCCTTGTACTCATCCTTTGTTTTCTATTTATCAGTGACATTAGGAAGCTTCTGCAAGGGATTTCTTTCATTAGGCTTAATCATGTCTTGAAACAAGCCAACCATAGTGCTGATTGGTTGACCAAAATTGGTCCTGAGTATGGGGTCTTTTCTCTTTATTTTAAAGAGCTCCTCCCTCTTTAGTGTTCTTGAGGCTGGACTCCGTAAGTATTTAGACTCTTAGATTCCTAGTCTAGGTTTGTGTTTTGTTGGGTTTTTAAGCTTAATTTATTAGAACAAGTATTAAAATTATTAATAAATAACCATAATATTTATTTATTTAAATGTAAATTAATAATTTTAAAAAAAATAAATAATTTTTTTAGAAAAGATTAAATATATATTTAGGAAAAACATTAAACAAATTAGCTAAGTTTTCATTCAAATTCTTATTATATGAAATAAATTTGATAATAAATTTAATTAAAATATTAAAATGATTTATCTTAATAAATTATAGTAAGAAAATTATTAAAAACAAGATAAAAAAATGTTTAAAAGAATCATAAACAATTTTTATAAAATCTTCAAAAACTATTTCAAAAGTCCCTAAATGGATTGATTTTAGTCATAATTAAAAAATGTTCAATTAATTTGATTAGCTTATTTTAATAATTAACTCTACAGCTTAAAGTTTTTAAAAAATAAGTAACCTGAGTACCAAAATGGGTTGCTCCCAAACTGAAAGATTATAGGTTTTTTCTGGATTACTAAGTCTGTGACATCAGTTAGGGCTAAGTTGTTAATGTTGCACTAAAAGAGTTGATAATGGGCTATGTTGCTATGTTATGAGTTAAAAATTATTGAAATAATAAACTGTATGACCTCTATGTTTGTATTCGACTATTTAAGATTGTGATTTTTATTTCATAAGCTCACTCTTGCATTTTGTCGATGTTAGTATGTGTATGTGTTGTAATGATCGCACAGTGAGCAAAGGTGACAAGTGTTGTAGCTACTTCTCAAAGAGGGAGGTCTAACTGAGAAATGTCAAAGTTGGCATACTCTTGAAAGGAAACTGTAGCTTTAAATTATTTTGCCAGTTTAGGTTTTAGCGATAAGTCTAAATTGTTTAGCTATAATTTTTAAAAAATGTAATTATTATGCAAAAATTTTATATTTTGAGCTCCATGTAGAACGATCGTTGTAAAGATATACACTTATATAATTTAGAATTATATGAAAATGCCTTAAGGACATTGTTACTTTGTTGTTGAAATGTGTAAATTTAATGTTTAAAAATTCCATTTCCTATACTATATATGTATTATCTCATGAATGGACTTTAAATTAGAAATAATAACTCAAGATGTCATTGATCCTTTACAAAAAAATAAAATAAAATCGTGACATGGTCATTTGATAATAGTATTATTTAATTGTTGGCTTTCAACTATTTTTTTAAATGCTACATTTAATTTGGATGAAATATTATTTTTTAAAATATATTTTATAAATGCATGAGACCTTTTAAGTTTTAATGTGTTAAAACAAAAATAGTCATGTAATTTTTTCTTACCAAAAATATAATAAAATATTTTTTTGTCATTAATTTTGGTGCATATTTCGGAAAGCTTTTTTTTTTTTTTTTTTGTCATGAAACTTAAGAAGATACCAAATTTACTTTAACTTATAAAGAGTATTTATTATCACTTTTATATGTTTATTATCAATCTTTATTTAATTAACTAATAATTTTTTTTTATAAAATTTATTTAAAAATAAATAATACTATACACTTTAAAGTAATAATAAATTCACTCGTTTTTAAAAATGCCATAAAAGCATAAAAAACTTTGAACAAATTTATAATTGGACAGTCCTAAATGTATTAATAGCACCTAATCCAATTTCACGTGATGGTAATAATAAAAATTAAATTTTGTGGTTCAACAGAAAAAAATATCATGTTATAATAATAAAATATAGACTGAAATAAAAAAAATGTTTAATTTATTTTAATCATGACAACGTAAGTTGATTGTTAGAAAGAATAGCAAAAGGCAATTGTTATAAGAAAAAATTGGCGGTTAAGTTTTGAACTTTGAATAAATTCATAAAAGAGGGAAAAATAACTTAATAAAAAACAAAGAAAAAGGCTAAAAACTTAAATATCGTTCATAAAGCCGTTTTGGAGGGAAACAACATAAAATTAAAACCAGACAACGACGAGCAGAAAAAGAAAGAAAAACCTAATCGTGAGTCAAGAACCGAAGGACGCACAAGTCATAACCTACCAAAAGAAAACGACACCCCGTTTTTTTCCATTTTTTTAGTGAATATTCAATTTAGCCTCTAAAAAATAAAGTCAAGGACACTTTTTTCTTTCTTGAGTCAAGGAAACTTTTATTCTTAAAAAAGAAATTCAATTTTTCAAAATTATAAAAATGAGACACTTTAATTTTTATATTCAATGACTGAAAGAATTAAAGTATCTCATATTCATAATTTTGAAAGATTATTTGATAATAAAAAAAAACTAAATTGGGTCAAGTGAAAAATTTTAGTCTTAATTAAGAAAAAATTGAATTAGCCAAAAAATATACTATTACGTGATAGTTGAGCAATTATTTTAATAAATTGCCTTTCCTTTTTATTAATTACTTAGTTTTGTTTTCTAAGCAAGTTTGTTTGACGGAAGGATTTTAATCTTTGATTTAAACTATTTAGTGTAATTTACTTAAAAAAAAAATAACATAAGAACATCTTTCATGATATTTTTATAGAGTTGTTTTATCTCGTTTTTGTTATAGTGTAGGGCTATATGTTATAAACTGATTTGCTATTATAAGCAACTTAAAAGGTTTTTCTTTAAATTATTTTATTATATTGTATAGGCAAGTGCATTAAATGGTAAGTTTTTTCTTTTTAATTCTTTTCGATGTAAGTGATGGTTGTAATTGTCAATTAAAATGCTTTCACTACACTCAAACACATGTATGTTAGCCAAGCCAATGCGTTGTTTATTTTAACTAATATATTTTTATTAAAAAGTGGTTTTGCTATTTTTTAAATTTACATATTATTATTTTGAAATGGTAATCACATAACTGTAATTTGTCTTATTTTTATTAAATGATAGATTATATCATAAAAATATTAATATTATAATAATTAATATAAAAATAATCTCAATAATATATTTTAATTAATTGATTATATAAAATACTATTATCCAATCATTAAATTGCTATATTAACAAAAGATCGTTAATTTTTTTACAATAATTAATACAAAAAATATATCTATCATGATTCAACTTAAGAATATAAATATTTTTATACAAATATCACACTAAAATCAAACTATTAAATTAAAATAAAAAATTTTAAAATTATACATTTTTTATATTTCTCCTTAAACAATAAAATGACATTTTCCGACCAAAAAAATGTATTGCAATAACAAGTAAGGAAATAAAATAAAATAAAATGGGCTAATTTATTGCTGAACAACACCGTGTAGGGACATTAGTTTTAATTTTTTTCAATTCCCTCGGGCATTTCCCAGCTCTAAACAAGAAGCCAACAACACAACAACTCTCTCTCTCTCCCTCCAATTGTCTGAAGGGTATGTCGCAGGGCACAGGAACACTCAGCAATGTGGTGGATTTCGACCTACCCGATGAGATTCTCTCGGTCATTCCAACGGACCCTTACCAACAGCTCGATCTCGCTCGCAAGATTACTTCCATGGCCATCGCCTCAAGAGTCTCTTCTCTCGAATCCGACGCTTCTCGCCTTCGCCAGAAGCTTCTAGAGAAAGACCGACTCATCCACGACCTCGAAGACCGTCTCTCTTCCCTCACTCGCGCCTGTCACCAAGCCGACTCCACCTTGAACTCCGCCCTCAACGAAAATGTTCTCCTTTTTTCAATCTTTCTTTTTTTCTTAATTCGTAATTAAATTAGAGGAAAGGAGTGTAACTATTCTTGAATTGAGTGCGGGTTTCGCAACTGTTTGATATGGTTCAAGTTGGGAAAAATTAACGGCCTTTTTGTTTTTTTGAAAAATTTCTCTTACCAAGAAATAAGTAGTTATTTGTTTATTAGAAAAAGATAATTATTTAAAAAGAAAATCTTTTGCCAAACATGTGTTTGATGTTAACTGTCCGTTGTGTGCAGTTTGTTACTTTCATACTCTCACTGGATAAGGTCGTTCTGTGTGTGTGTAGAAGAGTGGAGAGGGGATGGACATGGGGGAACCGTTATTGTATATTGTTGTGTGTCTTGTTTTTCAATGGAAAGAAAATTTTTTAGTTCTTTTCGAGCATTCTAGTGTTGATCATTATTAATTGATAGGCTAGACAGTTTTAAGGAACCAAGAAACGTGAGTGGAAGAGAGGGTGAATGAGAAGGTTCATGTTTGTGTGGAAAATTTTGAAAGTTTATAATCTTTGTACAAATTAGTAAGGTGGTGTTATTTACTGGGAGGGAAGTGTTGAGTTGATTGTAGGTGATTTTGTGTTCTACTGTTTGGTTTTAGATAAAGCTTACGAAGGAGAGGGACCAATTGGCAGCAACTGTGAAAAAGCTAAGCCGAGATTTTGCGAAGGTGAATATTTCGTATTTCTGTGTTTCTGGTCTGTCTTTAGACTTCAGAAATTGTCGGTAGTTACCCTAGTTTTTGCTAGAGCCCTTCCCACTTTCCTGTCCTTTCCTATGCTTTTACAATTTTGCTAGATAGTGAAAAATTGTCTGGCATGTGGTTCAAGCTATCAATCAAGAAGATAAAAAGATGTTGCTACATTTGAGTCATATTGGAGTCTGTTTTCATTTGCGTTTAAGTGTTCTATAAATTGGAAGAACTCATTATCTCACCTACTGCTTAGTGCTAAACCATGATTTCAGGTGATGAATTCATATCCTTGACTACCTGACTGCTTCACATTATATTAATAGAGCCTTAAACGTATGTTGGTTGATGAAGTAAAATCTACCAATGTCACACAACTCTGCAGTTGTCTGTTTCTAGTAGTCAATTGTAATTGTATTGTACATCTTGTCCTGAACACATCATGGCTTATAAAACTAGTTTTCCTGGAAACGACTTTGTTTTTCAGACTTCTAAGGAATGAGATATAATGCTATTCATTTTTTTAAAGAAAGTGTTTAATTTAATGTTAATGTCAACGAATCCATGTTGTAATCAACAAAACCCTACTGGGGAATGTAGCTGATGCATTACATGTGCTGGAACCTTCATTTTCTTTCATCATATTTCATCTAGATAAGAATACATTATTAGAATGATTTTCAGTATAGCAAAATATGATGTTGGATGATAAATTGATGGACTAAAGATGAATGAATGATGGAAGACAAAATGAGGATGACTTTTCATCTTTTAATTAAGTCATCACTAATCAGCAACAGAAAGTTGAATTCAAAATATTCTAGTCTGGTTAGCTCAACAGTGACGGTTAAATAATGCTACCCCTGGATTTTAATTTATTCTTAGGTTTAAAATTAATGCCGTTTTGAAAATGTGATAATTACTATTTGAAAGCCCTGCTTATCATCTGCTTTTAGTCATTACTGAACAATGCACAGAAACAGCAATTTTTCTTAACCACTTAGGTGTGGAATAGTTTTGAGTGACATGGTGGACAAAAAAGTTGAATATGAAATCTGTTGGTGACTGTTATGTCACAGTCAGCTGTCTGTTAGGGACCCAAAGAAAACAAAATGGAAACTAGAGAAGATTTAAAGGAGTAAAACTTCATTGAAGAACAAAACGGAAAATGAAGAATAAAATTCTCCCGAAGGGTTTCCCCTTCACAAAGGATTTCTCCTTTCACAAAGAGCTAAAGCTCAACTTACAAATGTAAACACATCTGTCTGCCTTTCTCTTGCATCATCCTATTTATTTACTTCACAAATCCCCTCTAATTAACTGATTTCATTCCATTAACTAACTATAATAACTACTAACTTTCCTTTTCCTCTCTCCTAGCTCCTAACATGTCCTCTATTTCAAGCTGCAAAATATCTCTCCCTATTTAAACTACAAGTGTCTTTTTATAACTCATTTGGGCATGTGGGATATCTTTCAAACTTATCTGTTCAATTTTGTCTATGCACAGCCTCATATCAATATATCCTGGTGTTGTCCAGCATGCATATTTATTTTTAGGTTAAATCATACTGCTTCTTTAAGAGATACTCAAATTACACCACCCTCCTCTTCAATCTTCAAATTGCACTCTCCTCCCTAAGAGATGAAACTTTAATTCATTTTGATATAAATAAACTGTTTGGAAATGGTAAGTAACTAGACATAAGTCTTCGAAGGCCATTTCTCTGCTCTCTTCTGCTTTCAGTATCACCAACAGCTAATTTTGAATACTATTGATTTTAAGACATAAGGAGATGAAATGAACTAATTCGAACTTTCGAAACACCCTTAATTTTGGATTTGTTACTTCACCTTAATCTTTATATCTTATTCTGAAATTCCAAGGTTGATAATAGGTGTTCAAAACTTAGCTGTTGTCCTGTTGATGACATGGAGATTTGTGTTTAAACGAGACATGTTCTCATTAAAATGGATTAACATGCATCATACATATCATAGATTAATTTCATAGGAGAGGAGAGTGATTTCATCACAAAGGAAAGAAAAGAAGCATCATTTAGAAGAGGACATTGCACTTTATCTCTTTTATTCACTAGTAACTTTAATATATTCTTTTCTTTACTTCTATGATTTCAAACTCCAGCAGCTATTGGCACAGTGTATATGTACAAATTTGGCCTTTTTATGTTACAATATGCATATTTTTCCTTGTGTGTACATATAATACTGACTTGATTGTGAAATATTATTTATTTTATCTTTTACCGCTCATTTTTGTGTAGAATTGACAGCTTTTCTTTATTCTATTTGATAGTTGGAGACATTTAAAAAACAGCTGATGCAGTCGCTAACTGATGACAGCGCATCTGTAAGACATCAATATATTAACTTTCCTATCCTTATAATAATTACATTAGATTTTGTTACTGAAAATGATCAGTATTATCATTCTCCTGAACAAGATTCGTCTTACCCTTTAATCATTTTCATTGCTCTTGGGACAGCAAGCTGAAGCCATAGATATTGGAACCTGTGACCAATCAGTTCCAAAGGCATATCCTGGTAAGGATACTCCTCACTTGGTTGATCATGAATTTTGCATGTAGCCCTCTAGTGAAGTGAAATTCATAGGAGTGCTTGTTGAAGTTGTTTATATGCATTTCATTTATGAATTGTTCGCAGATGATAATGGAAGTGGATATGAGTCACATCGTTCACACAGTGGAATTACAGATGCGGGTAAAACAATTGATGAAGGTAGATGAATTTTCCAGATATCTTATTGATTGCAAATCATGCTATTACTATTGTTCAATTATCAGAATCAAACTATATTTCTTGATATCATATAAGTAGTATCCTGCATGAGAAATTATGCAAGTAAACATTAATGCTTAATATTTAGGATTTCAGAAATGAATTCTGTTCCACCTACTTTTAAGCATTATCTACCATCCTTTGGTATTGCTTATTCAAAGTTCTTATATAGTAAAAACTGAAAATTATTATATTTAATAAAACCCAAAGTGGGGAAACTAGCTATTGTACTGGAAAATAAAGAGTTTGGACTTTTCTATCTAAAAAAATGAATTTGACTGGAAAAATGTTTCAAAATGGATTCAATAAAATTATAGCTGAAACTATCTATGATTAGGAAAAATGGGCTTACAGGTATCTTATATGACAAGCATAATAATTTCCTTGTTATTTTATGTTCTGTCCTTTAGCTTCCAAGTATTCAGGGCAAAGGTTTTCTTTGACCCCATACATCACACCACGTCTTACACCAACTGGAACTCCAAAGGTGATTTCAACAGCTGGGTCTCCTAGAGGATATTCTGCTGCTTCATCACCCAAGAAAACTTCCGGTGCCACCTCTCCCACAAAACTTCCATATGAAGGACGATCATCTCTCTCTTCATGGTATTCATCAAGTCAGCAGTCATCAGCAGCAAACTCTCCACCTCGGGGACGATCACTTCCAGGTTTAGCTTTAGATGATTCATTGTTAATCTATTTTTTTTCTAATTTTTTTAATCTTTTTTCATCTTACTAGGTATTTTTGCTTTAGTAAGAAATGTTATCCATACAGTGCTGAGAATTACGACCTTGTTCCATATGAAGCATAAGAAAAAGGGGCTGGGTGTCTCTTCCATGTGTTTCTATTAGGTAATCTGCAACAGTAGTTACAATATGTCCCATTAGTAGTTACTTAGCTTGGCTTAATTAATTTGGAATGCTGCCTATTAATAAGTAGAAGGGATTGAGGAGGAGATATCTTGTCAAATGCAAGAGAGTTAGGGCCTTTGCTTGAGATGAGCAGTCACTCAAAGAACTATAGTGTTCTATCCTTGTAATTGGGATTTATTCCTATTTTTCCAATACGGTTACCCATTTTTTCTATCCATTGGTATCAAAGCTCTGATTTGGACCTGTGGGTGCATCTTGAAGCTAATCCAAGAATTGTTCAAGTTAGCAAGAGTAGAAAAGCAAGTTCTTGAAGAATTCAAGAAAGAATTCATGAAGATACCAGAATTTGAAGGAAACGAAGTCTATTGGTAGTTGATTAATGTGGAGCAGCACTTTGAAGCCTTTGCAATACTTGAAAAAGAAAAGATACAAAAGGTTGGGGAGCCTATGCGAGGACATTATTTTGTTTGGTGGTTTGTGTGGAAAGGGGAAAATCCAAGTGCATCATGGTGGGACTTCATGTTGGGTTCAAGATCAAGGTTCTTTGGTGCTAGAAAATAGAACAGAAGATGAAGGTCTAGAGATAATAGAACCAGCAACTCAAGGACAAGAAGCAAATACAAGAAAGCTAAAAGAATTTGGAGAAACCTGACAAATGCAATCCAACATCATTCTGAACAATGTGGGAGAGATGACAACGGATGGTTCTTTTTATGGGTTGCAAAAAGGTGGTAAAAATTGAGGGAGACCCTATGTTTGGCACAAAAGGAGAGCCAAGGACTAAACCAACTCTAACAGTGAAGGTTTTGGGTTTGGATAGTATGATCAACCCACCACAGAAGCAAAATAAAATGGAGGATCTTGATAATCATTAGCTGCAACCATGTGTAGTAGTGCAATTCACAAGGGAGCTATGGGATCTTTGTATAATTACAGAACCTTTGATGCTCTGGTCCATGGCCAAAAAAACTACAGAAAACAAAACACTAAGGGAGTAGTATAGGGATATTCACATGGTGTTTGACCTAGAAGGCGCAGAAGCTATTTCTGGGCTGGAAGGTGGAGCTGGATTATCTTTGTTACAGAGCTGCTATAGCTATTCACCTTGAGGACAAGGTGAATGTTTAAGGGGGAGGGGAGAGTATTGTTAGGTAATCCACATTAGTAGTTACAATATGTTAGTTGCCTATTAGCAGTTAGTTATGATATACTATTTAGTTAGCTTGACTTTACATGCTGTCTATAAATAAGTAGAAGGAATTTGTGATGGAGATGTGTTGTCAATTGTGACTTGTGAGAGTTAGGGTCTTCGGCTCGGGTGGAGTATTCCTTGAAGAATTTTAGTGTTCTATCCTTGTAATTGGGGTTTATTCTTATTTCTTCTTAACAAGTTACCCAATTTCTGTTAGTTTCATTATCACATTATTTTTAGTTTTTTATCTCTCATAACTTGTAAAATATTTGCTTAGGTCGTACTCCAAAGATTGACGGAAAGGAGTTTTTTCGTCAAGCCAGGTGGCTTTCTTTCTCCCAGCTGTAGTAAAGTGACTTTTTATTTCCACTTATTTAAGAAGATAACTGAATAAATTAAATGTATCACTTTTTCAGGAGTCGCCTATCTTATGAACAGTTCAGTGCATTTCTTGCTAACATAAAGGAATTAAATGCTCAGAAGCAAACACGAGAGGTAAATAGAAGTTAAATAGTTGATGTATTAAATTTGGAACTGAAATTATTTCCAAGTAGCTAATCTTCGTTCCATGTTCTTTTAGGAAACATTACGAAAGGCAGATGAGATATTTGGGTCAGATAACAAAGATCTTTACTTATCTTTTCAAGGATTGCTTAACCGGAATGTACGCTAATACATAAAGTAGCATTGCCGTGAATTATGAGTTGGTAAGCAAATCCTTGGCCATCTTTTCTCTCTCTGATTGTGCACTTCTTCCTGAGTTGTGTTGTGGATGAAGTTGCAGCTTTCATCATGAGGATTTGATGAAAATGTCTGTGTAATGCTTATACTTCACAATCACTTCAGCCACACTGCACCATATTCTCAATCCTTTTAAATCATGAATTTTTTTAACTTATACAGCATTTCATATGGTAAGAAATCAGTATATAGTAAGTTTTTATTAAATATTATAGTATTTAACAGTATCAATGCATTGAATTGCATTAAATTCTATATTTTTCAATAAAAGTATATATAGATTGTTATCATGTGCAATGTTGCACAGACCACATATTAGAAAAATTGTTTAAATAAGTAACACTTGGTGCAATACACTTATCTAGTGCAAGGGAAAGTGGGTTTCATCGAGCCTTGGGCTTTGTGATAGAAGCATTATTTCTGTCAGCAAATCGTTGCTGAGGATTTGGTTTTTTTGTTAACCTCAACCCGTAAGATTGAGTTTAAGTATTCACAAATAGAAAATTTTATAGAAAAAATATACATTTATTATATTAAAGTTATAAAAATACAATAAATGCTTCTCTTTCTAATAAAATATTAATATTATTAGATGCTTATTCTCAGTCCTTAAAACTGAGATTAACAAAATCTTTATTTTAATATTGATTTTGAGAAACCGTTGTTGGTTTGCTATTAAAAAATAAATAAATAAAGCTTCTAAGCTTGTTAATAGAGATGCTTTGAGCTAAATGAACTTTTTTTAATCTGGTGCTTGGGAATTAAATAACACAATGGAAATTCAAACGTTTTCACTGTCGCAATTTTGCACGATGCATTTTATTGACAGTATTTTTATTGGTCTCCGTTACTGGCTAGTGGTCAAAATTTAGCTTTTAACATAACAACAATGCGTTCTAGTTAATCCTTAATCTATTAAGATTGTTTGACTGCAGTGATTAATTGTTTAATTGACTATTTTTCAGGTTACTCACCCTCAACTTTCTTGGACCGATGTTGACTCATTCCGCTTCAATCCATTGAATCAAAATCCAACGAAGCATTAATCTGAGCCATTGAATTCGAGAATATATACTCCATCTAGGTTTTTCGTTCCCTATTTCTTGTTTTAATCCTGTTGCATGTGTGTACATAGAAACACATGACTTTCTGAATTGCGTGCACAGCTAGTTTAAATGCTGATTGAATTTTAGTTTATGGAACACCTGTGTGGATGGGAAATTTCTTTTAGATGAATGTGGCAATTCTTTCTCAGTCAATGATGTGCAGATGCAAGTAATGGTCCGAATTTAAGGTCAGTGCGAAATTTTGACCTGTGCATGAAGTCTACCCCGGTTCAGGTTAAATAAAAGGTCTTTGCTTAGGTATTTATAGTACATAAAGTCTACACAGGTTCAGGCTTTAAATGTTGATAAACTTGGGCTTTGTAGTCGATGGCCTTCGTAAGTTGTTTTTTAATTATAAAAGAAGTTTTATTTATTTTTATGCTTGTTTTTTTCATAAAGAATTCACTAGAAATTTATTTAAAATGGATCCATATTTACTTGTTTGAAAAGTTCTTAATTTTGTCTTGTGAGTGTTTTAAGAATAATTAGTTAAGAAATTATCAAATAAAAAAATTTATTAAAAATTCTAATCACGGCATATACGTAATATTTTATTTATAAAAATGTTACTTTAGATTTCGTAATCAAGTGTTTTAAATACAGTCATTAGTATTTTCTTGTTTTTCCTTTAGCTGTTGCCCTTGTAAACGTGACATGCTGCCGTGCGTTACAAGGACATATTCACGGTCATAGAAAGTAATATGAAAGAGGATGACAATTGACCAGACAGTAATGAAAGTGGTTTTCACTTTTTAAATGGATTCAAGTCATTATTGTGATCGATTAGTCGTTTGTTTAAGATTATTTTACAAAAGAGTATTTTTTTTTTCAAAATAATCATTTTTGTTTGACTTTTTTAGTTACTCGATTAAGATTATGAAAAATTTGGAAGTTGATTTTTTTTTAGTTGTGTAGCTGTGTTGAATGAGTTTTTAAAAAAAGATGAAATTATTATACCTTTAAAAATAAAATATCATTTTTTTTGTAATGACTAAAGTGAATTAGTGTATTATATGAATCAAATAAATTGGAAAGATAACTTGTTAAAATAAATTTTAAAATTTATAATATTTAATTGTAGCTTAAAGATATTAGAATATTAGATATTTAAACTGTGTCATTTAAGGTATTTTTTAATAAGACAAATAACTTTTGAAAATATAATTATAATTTGAAGGTAAGGCCTTTTTTTTTTTATTCACATAAAATTTAATTTAATTCTATTAAATTCACTTTTCATTTTATTTTTGAAGTTAATTATATATATATATATATATATATATATATATATATTTGTATTTCTAACGGCTAGCTCACTAGATTTAGTAAATATGATTGAAATTTAAGATTAAAAGTTTTACAAAGATATCTATAGAAATGGATATTTTTTGTTTGGAATAGTATTTTAGGAGCTTTGTTTAATTTATCTTTATTTTATTTTAATTCATCCTTTATTGCATGCAAATTTATTTTTCAAACTTAATAATCTAAATAATTATATATTTTTTGAATTGTGACCTTTAAAGGTGGAAGTGATTAAATTTGAAAACATTGTATGGTTATTTCAATTCTCTTAGCAATGAACAACCTAAATTAGAATAGGGGTAATAAGTAAAGACATGTGGTTGAATGTTAAAAAAATACAAAAAAATAATTTTTTGTAAATTTTGCTTAAGTCATATAATATTTTTTTTAAGCTAATTTTATACAATGGTGACTATACAAAATTGTATCAAAGCTATTATTTATCGCTTAAGCTAAAATTGTATAATTTTTGTATTTGTACAATTCTTTTAAGTTAGGTAAATTTTGCTTAAGCTAATAATATTTTTGCTTAAACAAATTTATTTAATGTTTAAACAATATTCATCCAATGAGTCATTCTATTTCTTGTAACTTTTACGTTAGAGAGGTTAAAATGGTTTAAACTAGTTTTGTAAACATTATGCTAAGTAGATGCAACTAGTATGTAAAGAGCATGAAGATGATCTAAGATGATATTGAACACTTTATCAATATAAAACCTGATTTTCATGACGACAGTGAATATGAAAATTTTAATTATAAATAACATATTTATGGTTTTGTGAATAACTTAAAGATCTAAAATAATATTTAACTTTCTATTAATTTAAAAGTTATTTTTGATTATAAATTGAAATTATATTTGTACATAGGAAAATTTTAATTCTTAAAATCACCATCTTTATACGAAATATATATAAGATTTACGTGGAAAAGATAACAAATGATTAATATAATTTTACAAAGATATAAAATAATAAATTTTAAAAATCAAAAGAGCAATTTTACAAATTTTTACTAAGAATTAAATTTAGTATTATTAAATAAAGATAAAAAATATATTCAACAGTTTAAACACGCTAACTCACTTATACACCACTTAATTGTTTACTCTTTTTAACTTGAGTCCATTTTGTACTAAAAATATTTTTAAATTTTTGTAAAATATTGAAAATTAATTAATTTATTTTATACATTTTTGTTTATTTTTTCAAAAGTTTAAACAAACAAGAAGTGTTGCTAATGTTAAGAAGCATATATGAAAATGCATGTAATCATTTGAGTTTAACAACAAAGAGGAGTGTGATATATTAAAATTACATATTTCATTTAAATAAATAAATTACTAAATATATAACAAATACAATTGAATGAATATTAATTTATAAATAATTCAGTAAATATAGTAGCATAAAGTTTTACACCTTAAATTAATAAATCTAATACAATTAAATAAGTTTAAACCTAAAATTAGCAAATACAGTTAATAAAATTATGAAATACACAAATAACAATATTATTTCAAAGTAAAGTATAAAGATATTAATGAAAAAAATGCATCAAGCCAAAAATGGAAAGTAACAAATTTGTCATCAAATTTTCAAGGTGATTTCTTCATGTTGTTCATCAATCTTCAAAATAAAGAAAAAATATCATTAGAATAAAAATGCTTTAAAAATAGTGATTACAAATATTCTTTAAAAATATTTTCATAAGTTATTATCTTTTATTTTCTTGTTGAATTATTCTTATGATGAAGCTGATCTTTATCACATATTAAATTATACATATACACACATAAATGAGATAAACTAATAATAAACATAATCGAAATAGTGTACAAGACAAATTGAATAACAATAATACAAAAGAAACTAACAAACAATAATGTCTTTTTTAAAGAATACACAGTGGAAGTACTCTCTAACTTTAAGAAAAAGAATTAGAGTTTTTCATTTAAAATTTTATTTATTTTAAATTTTAATTTATTCAATATAATATTATAAAATATTATAATTTATAAATAAAAATAATTTAATATATTATTATAAATTTTGTGAGTCTTAAATAAATCATTTTATTAGTTACAATAAGTTTTTTAATATAGACTATAAATCCAAAAAACTGACTAATAATGATAGCAAATTCAAGGCTCATTGCATTAGGAAAAAAGACTCGAGTTTCTTAGTTATCCTAAATACTCTATCCTTTGGTGTCTGGTTATATGAACTTATAAGTGTTGACTTTTACGTATGACAATTAATGTGACAAAAAATATTCAGATAAGAAAAATATTTAGTAATACCTTATTTTAGTTTTTTTTTATTTTTATCATATTTTATTTTGACAAAAAATCCACACAAGTGAAAGATTATATACATAATTACAATAAAGATTTGGTCTTAAAAAAAATACTTCAAAAAGTATGCAAATTAATTTATACAAACATTGGGTGTTCAAAATTCTAATGTGAATAGAATAGAAATTGTTTACAATAAACTCATCTATAATAGAAGAAACTTGGTAGACAAAAACACGATGGAAGCCAGCAACGTTGCTCTTGATAGGGTAAACAAAAAAGCTACACCGTTTTGTTGTTATAGTACCTGTTATTTATGTGTTTGCATGTGTGTTGGAAAATAGCCCATCTGATATTGGTCAATTGTTTTATATTTGTTTGAATATGAAAGCATTTTCCCATTTTATAAATTTTGACATCTACATGGCAAAAAAATTCAAGGGAATTGGTAGAATAATACCAGTAGATGCAATTGAAACTGCATTTCCTCTATGGTATAAAGGTATTAAAAGTAATTATTTAAATTAGAGGGTATATATTTTCATAGGTTTTTATTAAAATAATTTATAGCAAAAAAATTTTTGTTTTTTGTTTTTTAACTAATTTTCTTAGAATAGTATGGTATAATCATGGTGTTTAGAACCTAATAGTCAAGAATAGGACTAACTCAATTGGGCTTAAGGATGCTACTTTTTCATTCAGCTAAGCGTAAGCTTGCATCATAGCTTATGAGGTGAGAGCTAACAGCCTATATGCAAGATAATCAAAGTTAGAATTATGGGTCTTGAAAATACCCACATCCCCTTTCCCCAATGATAATAAATAAATAAATTAATGCTATTATGGGTATTTCTATTAAACCAAAATATTTTTGAATTGATTGAACTGATGCTGAACAAGATAGCACAAGTTTATTATGCATATTTTTAAGTTCGCAATTGAAAAATGTCACTGACTATCCTTAAAAAAAGGGTTGTCACTTATAAACAAATTAACAGCAGAGTTAGACATGCATGATTTTGTTGCATTTATTGTATATACTAAATTTAACATGCTAGTTGAAGCTGGAAAATAGTGCCAAATAAACCTTGTTTGATTTGTATAAGGAAGAAAAAAGAAAAAGAAAAAGAAAATAATTACACTAATTAAATTAAGGATAATTTCATAAACTTCAATCATCTCTAAAGTGGGTAGGCAAAAATGAAAGGAATATTTTCCCTCTCTTCGATTCAAATAAATAGTAACCTCGTAACCAAAATAAATAAACAAATAATAATCAGTTATTGCATATCCATATCCATGGGTTGAAGAATGTATGAAGGATTTCAATAAGCATTATTTATTTCAGCAGAATTCAACCATTGAAGTAAAATTAGGCAAAGAGAAACCACAAAGCAGCCATCAAAGCTTCTTAAAGATGAAATTCGGCAAATGAGGCATAGCCATTACTTGCAGCATCGTCTAGAATTGCGGCGTGTGACGGAGCTCCTCTCAGGGCCAGTCGGGGTGCCCCTTAGAGAACATGTCGTCTCTTTCCTTGGGCTTTGGATAATTTCGGCTATTTTAAAAAAATAAAATAAAATTCTGGCGGTTTTTTCTATTATAATGAACCGGTTGTAACCGGTTTACCGGTTCGGTTTTTAAACGATGTGAAAACCTAGGCAGAGCATGCTCGTAATACTTGGTTTGGTGGTCCCTCCCTTCTCCTTTCATCTTCAACCTAAGGTCTTCTTTCTCTCTTTGAGGTCGACACTGTTCAACCTCTTTGGTGAGTATTCATAGCTTTAATTTGCGTAACTTTCTATTCATTTGCTGGCTTTGATGCTGATAAACAACTAGGCGCAGTTAATTTGTCAATTTTGTTTTCTCTGTTTTGTTTTGAGTACTGGTTGTGTATGGCTTCTTCAATTTCTCAGATTCGTTCTCTTTCCATATTATACTTTAAGAAATTGAGAACTAATACAATTTTGTTGGGTTTGGATCTGCTGCAAGATTGATAAAAAGGCCTCATCAATTTGCACAAAATTGTTTGCTTATGCTGTTTTACTGATCAGTTCCCGTTATGTATGTGCATGGAGCCAGTTGACAGATTGTTTTGTGTTTTGTGTTTGCAATTTGGTGGATGCTGGATTATCATTATTATACTATTTGTTATTTTTACATTTTATCTTCTGTTGATTTTGGAGACCGATATTGGAAGTACTATTGGTTTTTTCATAGTTAATAACAAACAGGGAATCTTGGGCTTTACCTCAAAACTCCTGTTTACTGAATTCTGTTTCTATCGTTAGGATTTATTGCCAGGCCTATAGGTAAGCATTTTACCTAGATGGGAAAGCAACCTCGTCAAACAGTTCAGGAGGAAGAGGAGGAGGAGATGCCAGGTCGTGGAACTATGGTCTCGGGTCAATCAATGTCAACAAGCAGAAGTGTTGGGTCGCCATCCAGCCGGAGCGAGCAGACAATGGCAACACCAGCTAGTGATAACAAATTTCTGAGGTTAAATCATCTTGACATACATGGTGATGATGCTGGATCGCAGGGTGCAGTTGCGTGAGTTCTCTATTATCCTTTGAGCTCATGATAGATGTATAATTACATGATGTGATGTCATGCAGATGCTATTCGAGGTGTGAATTTCCTTTTTAAGTTTGTGGAGTTTGATATTTTCTGTTAGTTGGGGTCTGGGATAATTAGAGAAATAAGGCATGTTTCCTATAAATGAGAAAAGGGGTTGAGAGGGAGATTTTATCTTGTGATTTGAGAGGTAATTCAAATATTTGTTGGACAATCTAGGCCTCTTGAAAGTCCTGGGAATTGTGTGTACTCTTTTTGTTTATAGAAACTTTTCTTTCTATCATTCTGATTTTGTATCTATAATTTTTCCATAAATATACTATTTGAAATGAACATTGATTTGGACCTTTTTCTAACAAGTGATTCATTAAATGTTTACTAAGACAAACTTTATGAATATCAAATTAGAAAAGGAAAAATTGTTAAGATGCACACTCATTTGTTAGGTCGTCGAGGAATATCTATTGAATCCAAGTGAAGAATACTGCCATTCATTTTTGAACTGTGACAAATGTTTAAGAGCTCTCTTTGTTAGCAATCTTAATGATAAAGAATCGGCTGGTCTTCTCTTATACCATAATCATGTTTAGTGCTTGTTTCATTTTTCAAGAGAACCCTCTCAATGGACGAATTAGACCTTTTACATGTTTTAAGAGAACGGAAATATTCTCATGTTATTTTTAATTTTTCACTTGTATCTTTGAACCTGCTTAAAGACCTGTCTTCCTCTCCAATTACATTTTGATGGGCAAGCTCTCTCTGAGAATAAGACTTTTGTAGTAGTCTTTTAAACGTAAAAATGTGAGCAAATGTTCTGAAGTATAAAGTTCATAACTCGATGCACGTGGTATGGTTCTGTAGGTTTGTGACACAGTCAAATGGTCATTTTTTTTTATGTCAATTGTTTGCCAAATGTGACTTGATGTGGAGTCACCCAAAATTTGTTGAGGATTTCTGTTATCCACACAATTTAGAATGCGGAAAAAATTGCAAGATAAGGTTCTTGAATTTCTGCATGCGTGCAGTAGTCTAATGTATATTGTTGGATGGTAAACCTGGGTTTTCAGAGATTTTTAAATTTGTCTTTGCATAAGTCTCTTGTCAGGGCAGTATATTTGGGTCTTGTACTTTGAGTATGCCAGTGAAATCTTCTCAGAGTCTTGTTAATAGTTAAATAGAAGGATTGGAAAATACATTTATGCTTAGCTTAGTTTCTTCACGGGGAAATATTAATGCTTTATACTTTTATTTTTTAAAAATTATCTACTAAAAAAACTTCCTGTTATGTTTTCTTAAAAATACTCTTTGGATAATTTATTGGGCTTGAAATTCTTTCTTTTACTTCCAGTTGTCAATTATCTGATCATGGTTTCAAAACTCCTTTAAATGCTGTCTATGATTTTTTTAAATTGATTCTTACCCATTATGAGTTTTTAAACAGTAGCAAAAAGAAAAAGAGGGGGCAACGTGCAGTTGGAGGTGACAAGAGTGGAAGAGGGCTCCGCCAATTTAGTATGAAAGGTCTATAAACTATGCCAATTTGACCAGTTTGTTCTTTAAAGAAAAGGTTCATCAATCTTTTCTGGTTATTAGCTTTTAGCCTTTCAATGTTGCATATAGCATGCTATGCAGATTATGAGAAGCTAACCCCAAACTTTGCATCTGTGGTGGTTAGTTGCTTGTGCTTCTTAGATTGACATCATTTTTGTAGAAATCATGCTGATACTTTTCTGGTTTTGTTTCTCATTTATTGGTTGTCTCAAGTGTGTGAGAAGGTTGAAAGCAAGGGACGAACAACTTACAATGAGGTTAGCAGTTACTCTAAGTCAGTTCATCTAAACTGAAATTAAATTTGGATTCAGTTTTATATAGTATATGCACATAAAGTTAATTATACCATATAACTTCTTTGTTTTCCAATATATTTCTTGATATATTTTTGTCAATGTGTTTGCATGTGATTGTGCATGTTTCAAGTTCTAATGTGTGGTATACTAAAATCTAGAATTCTGTGCATTATAGAAAATTACTTTTGGGATTATTAAAAAAGGAATTTCCTCATAATTTCCTGAATTTATATTCACTTCACTTTATCCTTCATATTTTCTTGATTATCAAGCATAACCATGACCCATATGAGTTGCAGCCTTTGACGTGTTAGATGCCTATTAGATGTTCTCATTGAGAATTCTTCAAGAACTACAATCTTGATTCACCAGTGCTTCTTTATGTTTCTTTTCTTCTGTATATCTTGTGCTAAAGAGAATACTTTATGTTGAGACTGCTTTTATATTGATAAGAATTTCCAAAAATTGCAAATACTAAACTCTTAGTACTTTCAGTAATTCTGAGACTCAGACATTCCAGTGGCATATTGATGCTACAATACAAAAAATGACCTGCCTAATACTGTAGCTTTAGAATTATTAGATTGGAGAAAAGATTTGGCATTGGATCTATAATCTATTTAGAACTATGTAGGTTGTTGATGTTATATCCGTCCTACATGGTTTCATTATCTCATATTTTCTTGAAGGATCTAATTAATAAACACTATCTGTTATAACAAAATGATTATCAGTTGTATTGTAAGGAAATGTGTCTGAAGACATACACTCTAATCCTGAAAAAAATTGGTGAGTCAGAATGTATGCATTTTCAGATATCTTTTGTAATTCAATTTGCCATGCAAATTCTGGTTTGAATTCCTCAAATATAGTACCTGTTCCTAATTTTTTTCAAAGTAATGTGGCTTGTGGTTATAATATAGGTAGCTGATGAACTTGTGGCTGAATTTGCTGATCCAAGCAATAGCGTTTCATCTCCTGATCAGGTTTTCTTTGTATAAATAATTTTAGACAAAGGCTGTACGGATAAATATTGTTGACTTATTTTTATGGGGTTAACATTTGACAGCAACAATATGATGAGAAAAACATCCGCCGAAGGGTCTATGATGCTTTGAATGTTCTCATGGCAATGGATATTATTTCTAAAGATAAAAAGGAAATACAATGGAAGGGTCTTCCTCGTACTAGTCTAAGTGATATTGAAGAGCTAAAGGTTTGCAAACAGGATTAAGTTGTAGTTTTTTAAGGCTCTAAGTAGCTTATTCTTTCCTTAGAGTGACACTATCAGTTAATTAAAAAATACAATGAAGGATCATTTTATCTAATATAATTGATTCAACAGACGGAGCGTCTTGCGCTAAGGAATAGAATTGAAAAGAAAGCAGCATATTTGCAAGAGCTGGAGGAACAAGTAAGGACCACTTTCTCGTGTGGATTTAATTGGAATCTGTGAAGCATGAACACCTCTCTTGTTGGAAGTTTTGGACACTTTTTTGACACACCTCTCAGACACTTGTTCAACGTGTGTCTCTTCATCAGCTGTCTAGTTGAATTTTTTTATTGGCTCAGACACCTGAGCCAACACCTCTATATGGCTTGGACTCTTGAGCCAACACTTCAATATAGAAAAACACGGAAGTATTATTAAAAAATTATTTTTTATCCTTTTAAAAAATTTAAATTAAAATTGAAATATAATGTAAAATATTAAAATTAATGTTTTTTATTTTTATTTTTTTGTAAGACTCATTATCATAGAAAAAATATAAAACTTACTAATATTTGTTTCACAAGGTGAACATGGTATAATTTTATCTTGTTTTGAGATTTTTTTGTAAAGAGACCAAGTGCTTATATTGTAAAATAATCTCTCCCTCTTTCTCTCTCTCTCTCTATATGTGTGTGTCCAAGAATATTATATTTTAAACGTTAGCCATGTCAGAGTGTTCTTGTCTGTGTCATGTATGGTGTCTGCATCAGAATCTGTGCTTCATAGATTGGGATTGAACTCCTGTCCTAATTTGCAAGCTTGAGGAATTTTGTGTCTGAAATTTGCAATTGGTTATAAGAAGGTCCTAACAAAACCTTTTTGTTCCATAATGATTACTTTCTGTTTGCTAACTTCTTGTATTATTGTATCAAGTACGTAGGCCTTCAGAACCTTATACAACGAAATGAGCAATTATATAGCTCAGGAAATGCTCCCAGTGGAGGGGTATCTTTGCCTTTCATTTTGGTGCAGGTACACTATGATGTTTTTGGTTAGTTTTACCACTAGAAAATTTTGCAATTTTTTTACCTTTTGTATCTTCAAATGTCAGATAGTTCTTATGTTTTTGGTCTTAATGTCGAAAGTCCCTAGTCAGTATTTACTATTATGGTTGGCTTGAAGTTTAGATTACATACTCTCTATTATTATCAAACAAGATGTCGCTCCTGCTTTGTAGGTAAATTCACTACATTTTTTTCACCATTGTGGTGGACATCCGTTAGAATTTGTTAACTGAAAATTAATGTAGTTGCTATTATTATTATTAATAATACTAAAAGTATATTATTTGCTTACATCGTTGAGTTTAGCAAAGGTTATGTTACATCTACGTGCAATCTATTTACAAAGTTAGGCACTATGTCTATCTATATACTCAAGGCTATGTTACAGGTCTCTGTGGAGTATTTATGATGATAGGTCTAAGAAGGCTGCAAATTCGTTAATTTTAGAAAGAATCTGCCAACCCTAAAGGAAAAAACTACACACACATATATATTGTATTACTTTTTTTTTTTTTGGGGGGGGGGGGGGGTATGACCTTTCTATAAGCTCTTTTAAATTTATTTTAGGAAAAGCTTATTGAAATAAGTTTTTTTAAAATTTATTTTATTGAGTTTCTTAGTCAAACTTAAATAAACTTCTGTTTGATTAGAGCCTGAGTAAGTATTTAATTTAATTGTTTACCCAAAGGTGCCCTTGATATCATTTCTGGCTTTTGGAAATTGTAGACACGCCCCCATGCAACTGTTGAAGTGGAAATATCAGAAGATATGCAGCTTGTGCATTTTGATTTCAACAGGTAAGGAAGCTTCAATTACTTGGCTTTCTTTCTGTAAGAGTGATGGTATTATTTTGCCCGATTGCTGTCTAAATGTGAAGATATCATAATTCACTCATGTCATACTTCAACCCGTATCATATTATGATCAAACAGAATGGAGGGCATGTTGAGAAATATATGTCATTTCTATAGGATCTTTATTAAAATTTCATTTTTCAAAATCTTTTTCTATTTATGTTCACTACCTTTTCTCTTTCTCTCTAGCACTCCCTTTGAGCTGCATGATGACACCTATGTTCTCAAGGCAATGAAATTTTGTGAGCGACCTCAGAATGATAATGTAACGCAAAATCCTACAGATGGCGGTGAAGGTTCAAGCATGTCAGGCTTGTATCATGCACAGGTTCCTACTTCAGTTTCAAACCCTCCAGTTAGGCCTCCCTCATCTCCACCACTCCCTGGAATATTAAAGGCAAGAGTTAAGAATGAGCATTGATCTACAATTTTGTATTGTGTTGCCCTATTCAAGCATGTTTGTATATTTTGTAAAGTAATTTGTCGGCAATTAAATGTCCTTCATAATAGTTAATCAGTACAGCCAAGTCACTCCGTAGGTTAGAAGCAAACCGGTCTGCTTGAATCTCTCTATATTCTTCTGGGTTGATTTTGGCGGTCTTTGCTAACCATATCCATTATTCACTACCTTAATTGATTTTTTCCACCCACATTTTCTATGTATTTTGCCCTTATGTAGTTATAATAGAGCAATTGATTTGTACTAGTCCTTAGAGATCATGGAATGCTATACATCAGCATAGGATTAATTTTGGAATTCACAGATTTTAGTGTAAATTATTCCATCTTATGTCAATCTTGATATTTTGGGCAAATGCATCTTATCAGGTCTTTTTAGTGTTTGCGAAGTGCTTTCTTCATGCTCTGCCTGTTTTATTCAATATAACTTTATGCGCTGCTCTCTTCAGTCTCTTGGAGGCTATTAGCGGAATAATTTACGTATCTTTAGTTTAAATGGGTATTTTTGGTGCGGAAAGGGGAGGGGGGAAATTGGAAAGTAAAACACGTTTTTTAGTTGACGATGATGTCATAATTCCTTGATTAAGAAAAATCTCTTATACTACTCAAGTAATCAATAATAGTAAAATGAAAGGGTTGAAAAATATGCATTTTTGTGGAGTATACTTCCTCTTTTTTTGTCGACGAGGATACCTCCTATTGATTAAGAGCGAAGTTAAAATGGGTGTTTTTTCCTTCTTGGGGTGCGGGACGGGGTGTAAAAGATATTCTTATTTTTAAATTGCAAATGATTTGGCCTGCATTGCATTTGAACAATGTTCTTGGGGGATTAAACTTCAAAGGTAATTTAGTTCAAATTCCCAAGGTCGAGAATAGCTCTCATATACATGACTTGATCACAGGCTTTAAAACTTTACAATTATAGATGAGAATAATTACTAAACAAATTTAGTAAGATTTATAATAAAGGGATGAGTTTGAGTTTCTACCAAAGATAAGTGGCTTTTTTTACCTAAAAAATATTAATTGAAAATCAAATTCTTAAAAATTATATATTTCTAAAACCATTTCCTTTCTGTTTGCACTCTTTTTTGTCACGTTAGCTCGTATATTGCAAGTGTGATACTTCATTTTTTTAAAACAAAAAACTGTTTTAATTGCTATAGAAGAAACGGACGTCTATGTTGATTCATGTCAGCACATGTAAGATGAGCAAATTTATATAAATCCTTAAATTAGTCTAAACTCTTGAATTAGTGTTTAAATTTCTTAAAAACTTATTTTCTAATGAGGTATTTATTTTGGTTTGTAAATTTTTTTTTATTTCAAAAGTAACTAAATCAAATAAAATTTTATAAAATAAAAAATTATATTGTATTTTTTATATGTGATTTTAAAGACAAATTTATTCAATTTTGTGCGAAATTTAAAATTTGAAATTTTTTTTTATTAATAATTAGGCATTTAGGATTTGTTGATAAAATTTGAGTCTTAAAAACGATTAAATATTTTAATTATTTAAAAAGTAATTAATGATATTAAGAATAATTTCATGCCTGATATTTCTAAGGTTTTGTTAGCATGCATCTCGTCAGATATAATTCAGTTTTTCACTTCAAAAGCTTTTAATTCTTACAATCTTTTAACAAAGAATAGTAAAAATAGGTATAATTATATTGATTTGATTCAAAACATTTGTTTTGCAATCTAATAATTTATGCAATCAACTAATTTTTAATTTTAATCAATAATTTACGTAAATCTTTTTTAAATAAACTATTAACTTTCATATTTATTAATAGAAAATTAACAGTGTCTTATAAATTAAAAAAACATTTTAATTTTACATAAATAAATAGTATGATTAATAGTTTATTTATAAGACGTAAATATAATTTAATCACTAAGATATTAGAGAAATTACAACTTTCAATTTAAAAAGTCTAGTTTATAGGTATAATAAGAAGCACAGATAATTTTTTTGTATCTTTTTAAATTTTAGATTTTATCATTTATTGTAATTAATATAATAATAAAAAATTTACAAGGATAAAATCAAGTATTCATATATAATATTTTAACTATATCTTTTAAATTATATTTTCTTTTAAAATTAATTATATTCATTTTTTATTTTTTAATATATTAATACAATCTAACACACCGTCCGACCCAAGCGAATCTACACTAACACTAGTACTATAACAACTGCAAGTAATAGACAAAACACAACAAATTTAAATTGTAAGGAGTTCTTCAAAAAATAGGTATATACGCCATTAACAAATTTCGAACAGAAAATGTGAGACTGATACACGAATACGATAAATTTACATCCAAAAAGACGCAATTTTTTGAATCCTCTCCTCTTTCATAAATTTCTATCTCCTATACATACCGGAATGTTGAAGTGTTCTGCAATACTCCAATATCGTTGGGGAGTTTTTAACCTGTTCCCATATCTTGGCTGAATTCTTTAACCATTCACGCTCTGACACTGGTCTTGTGAATGATGGAGACTTCATGGATAAAATCTGACAATCAGGAAAGGATATCATGTGTCTTAAATGTGTTGATTGTTAAAACTAACTGGTCTATGACCCTACAACGAAAGAAGTAATATATCTGAAGCAAAGTAAAACACTTGACTAATCCTGCACTGTAGTGATCGTCAGGTATCGTATGTGTGCAGAGAGACAGAGAGAGAACCTGATCCCGTAATTTCCATAGCCCAGAAATGTAACTTTCATGCTGATCTCGTGGATTTTCATCTTTTTTCTTTAGTGGGATTGCATACAGATTAATCATTTGAGAATCTACATGACAAGTATGAACCAAAGAAGACGAAACATGCTCCTCAGGCCTGTTTCCAATGTGTTCTCTCACAAAAGAGGATGGTTTGAAATACTGCATAAGTGCCTTCTTCAGCTGCACAAAATTATTAGGAGTAAAATCTTGATCTTGCAACCTATACAAGTTGAAAGAAATACTGATGAGTGCTTCTCATTGCAATGACCTTATAACAACAAAGGGAAAAAGTGGATACAAAACGGAATTGTGACATTGACATTACAACTAAACCTTATCCTGCCAGCTAGGTGAGGTTAGTTACATAGATCACATTATTAATCACTAGATCTCTTTTAATAATTTCCTCTAAAGTTTTTCTTGGTCTTCCTTCACCCTTTTTTACCAAAGTTGACTAATTGATACATACATACCTTTTAGAGATTTTCAATCGAAGCATATATATGATGCACAACTCTAGTCCTGTGTCAGATTTTCTTTTTATCAGTAGTCACTGGCTCATTGCTAGTTATAATCTTCTACATTTCATCTTTGGTTCATGCTTTTCTCATATATTTTCAAATAGTCGGTAACACATGCAGTTTGTAACATAGGGCTTAATTTAAAGGTTATTTGAAGGAAAAAATTACAGAAAAATCAAGTCCAGCCAAGATGGAATTTGGCTAGTAGCAAGCAACTATTCAAGTCAAACAAGTTATTCATCAGTTCTCATTCACTAGTTCCCTCCAAGTCTTGGCTAGGTTTAACTTTCAAGATTTCTCCTTTACGGCTTTATTTATTTAATTAGATTCAAAAGCCAAAAAATTTGGAGCAATCATGATGCATTTTAGAATTTTTTATCTTAGCTGCATTACAATAATCATAGCATTTGGTTACTCATTTATGCAAATTATTTCCTGCCAATATATTAAAGCAGAAAGATGTTTCTTACTTGGAATGTACAAACACAGGAGTAGCCACGTATTCTTCACTTTCAGGAACTTTTTTATCTTTCTCAATCCCTGAACTAGAACTATGTGAAAGAGATGAAGTCAGCAAGGATGGGTCTGAAATGCCATGCTTCAACAAATCAACCTACAGGATACAAGTACAACATGATCAGTCCTTTTAAATATATCAGTAGTCTTTACAACATAAGTTTGTAAAAGAATAAAGAGTCTGCTTATATCCAAGGATTTTAAATTAAACAAGGAAGCCCAAAAACAGCTTTTCGGCCAATTTGTAGAAATATTTACAAGGAAATGATATTTCTCTTTTCTCAATCAACAACATTGTGTACTTGTCCTCATAAGCAAGCCATCTAAAATCTACAAAACTCAAAGCTGGCAACAGATTAATCAGGTAACTATCATCATCTGAAGTCTGAACTTATGAGCGAAGGGGAAATCACATGTTTCAAAATCATAACAAAATTTTAGGGGCTTCTAGCTAATTTGTTAGTGACTGACTGCAAATAAGAAACGAATCTAAACCAAGAAGAGGCTATGATATAAAAATTGAAATTAGTTTACCAGGTGTGTTACTTTCTTTAAAATTCAGAAGACAGAAAACCAGAATGCATCAAAGAATTGTTAGCAATGGATAGGGGCTAATACCATGTTAAGATTAACAAAGGCCAATTGATTCCAAGACACAATTCTGCCAATATGCTATCAAGTTTGCAGCTATTCATGAAAATAATCATTCTAAAAGTAATGGATTGGTCTTAAACCACTTGATTTTATATAGTGTAGGACAGACAGTGCATCCAAGCACTTGATCTATTAATTCAATTGTTAAAGCAAAAAACTGATCTAAGAAACGTACAAAAGGATACACACTAAATCTGAATGCATTCAAATAAGTAACAATAGATGGAAGCAACAGGTACAACTGTTTTTCAAATGACTACATAATTTCCATAGCATGAGATAATCATTGAGGTATTGAAAATATGACAAACAAACTATAGACTAAAGCACATACCGTCAACATCAAATGCCACATGCTATCATCATGGACTCCCTCGGACACCACCAGCAGAATATGACATATGGATGCTAGAAGAACAGCAAGCTAGAAAGATTCCTTTCAGCATCCCAACATAGTCAAGCTCATAAAATATAATGGTACCAGAAAAAAATATCCATAGTGATCAAGCTAGAAAGTTTATACATATAAATATTGTTTCTATTAAAAAGATATTCTCTACTTGGGAGTTAGTTTTTACCTGAATACCCATAAGTTCATGAGCCAATTCAGCCGACAAGGTTTCTCCACTTAGCACTGAGATTGTTGAAGATCCATCCGGTCTCATCATCTCCGCTAAAATGGAAGCACTGAATACAGGCTGCAGGTAAAAACAAATAAATAAATAAAACTGGAAACCTCTAATCATTAGATAAGAAAGAGGAACAAATGAAAAATGAAGTAAATTAAAGAAAGAATATAAAAGATTTAAAAAAGATACTATGGGCAGTACTTGGGTATCAAGAAGAACAATACGTTCAGCAGATATCCTTGGTTCAATGCCCGTAGAACAATGCCTTGCCATAGCTCTAGTTTCTTCAGACTGTATGGCAAAAGGTGGTAACATTCCTACAGGGTTAGACATCAAAGTTATAAATGTGCAAGTAATTAAAACTTTGAAACACTACATTAAAGTGAATAAACTGACCAGGCGAGCTTGAATCAAAACCATAAAGTTCGTTCATAATAGTGGACTTGCCAACTCCAGGTGGTCCAATCACTCCAATCACCGTAAAGTCCGTATTCTCAGTCAAAAACTGTAACATTTTGAAAAACAAAATTTCATTTGCCAATAAAAATTTTCAAATATAATCTAACTGTAAGCATTTGTAGAGGTGAAAACAGATTGGATTACGAACAGGGAGAAATCGGTCAATGTGGAAATCCCAGGAGTCGGAGAGAAGGTTGAGGGATGCAATGGAAGGGAGACGAGAACGAAGCTGAGCAGAATCATCATCACCGGCACCGCTGCGACCGAATTTCCCAGCAACGGGACCGCCGGTGACGAGTCCAGGCTTTGCTAGAAGGATTTTGGGAGAACGAGAAGGTTCCGACCCCGCCATTGTTTCGCTTCTTATGAGAGTTAGCTTCTTCCTATTCGTAATGGGTTTGGCAAGGCTTAATTGGGCTGGCCCAACTTGCTAGAATGGGCCGTGAGGTTGCAATCTTATATCCTGTTGAAAATGTGGAGGAACTTTTTCATCCATGGAAACGGGTGAGTACCCTTTGAATTCAAATGGCCTAGCTTGTTGCAATTGTAGCATCTCACCTTCTTTCTATCAACTTTAAGTCACCCCATCTTGATGAGGATTCAGGATGATCTTGATCAGTATTGAACTGGTTCTAGACTGGTTAATTTGTATTCTTTTTAGATAATTATATCAACCAATTCAAAATAAAATATTTTTTATTTTATTTTAAAATGATTTCAATGTTTATAAATATATTTTTAAAGTGAATAAATGGGTTATTCTATGAACAAAGCCTACTTAATTTGACAGATTTTACAAATCAACCTTATTAATGTGCCTTTGCAGACTTGGTTTTTTAGGACCAAACTTGCAAGTAAACTTGTTCAGACCCAAATAAATTGCACCATCATGTAAGAAGGAACAATTTGAATTGCTAATGATTTAGATGACATTTGGGAACCATATTTCATTAAAATTATTTTATGTAAAAATCCTTTTATAATTTATTTATTTTTTAATATCTAAATGACATTTCTAATTAAAAATGTTACTTTAATTAAAATAATCTCTTTTATGAAATATTGTTTTTCATTCTCCTTTCACATAATTTTTAAATGGTGCATGTTATGTCCTTCCACATGACATAATATTATAGGTTATGATAAATGATATTAAATGTGGGCCGTTGCAAAGACACCACAACACACCACACGGGAGCTTTTGATTATTTTAAAATTTTGAGTCCTTAAATATAATGCAGCCTTTGTTAGTGTCCCTTTGAATCGTCACTCTTTATGTGATTGGATTTTACTAGGGTTCAATATTGAAGGGCTCAAAATTTTAAAATAATCAAAAGCTTCTTAAGAGAATATTTTTGCAACATCTCTTTATTAATACTATCATTTTTTTTTAAGCATCAACGTTTTATTAAAGATAAATTTAGAATATAAAAAATACTCTAACTCATTACAACTCTAAAGAAAATTAACAATACATATTAAAAGATTATTAATTCAATTCACATATATAATCGATATTCTCAAAAGTCCTGTTGCAAGCCACTTTCAAGATACATATCCCAAACATTTGACCTAAACTTTATCTCTTTGTAGAATTATTTTTCATGAATGTAGATTAAGCCCATAACTTAAAGTGGTGTTTCTTTCTCCTCGTCTTATAAAGTGCACTCCTAATATTAATTCTTTCATGCACGCCTCAATAACAATATTAGATTGAAGAATCTAGTCATTGACTCAATACATGAGGCCTAATAATCAGGCCATTAGATTTGCCAATAAACTCTTTTTGTACTACATTTTTGTTTCATGTTAGTTCCTTATTAATAACATCCAGTTGCCATAATTCTTCATTAGCTCACAACTCTTCTCACCATCATCTGACCTTTTATCATTCAAAGCATCCAAATCTAGTGAAGCATCATCATAACTCTTCGATGATGAAGTATTTGAATCATGATACTGCCACCCTCCTTGAAAGAATTCTCCCCCATGTTCATTTGGATTGAGAACATGAGATCATTAACATGAATGCTTAGATCTTCATTAATTAATACTTGTGGTGAACTCTTGCAAAATTCATACGTCTTAGGAAAGTTGTATCGTCCATGCACACAAAATCTCCTAGCGGTGATACCATCTTCCGAAAGAATGCCTCTGACCAAGCATGGTATGGCACACCGTACAAACAAACTCACGTTCCTCTATTAACAACTACCATATGAGGATGCCACCAATCAATGGTATAAAACAACTTAGACAAGCCATCTTTATATTTAGCTATAACCTCACTCAAATCCTCTGGACCATCCGATTCCAACAGAACCATATTGTCACCCATGGTGATGGCCTTGAAATTTAGTATGGCTTCCCAGAAGTCAGCCACACTATTGAGCTCTTCTGGCTGGTGTAACATTTCCACCACTGCCTTGTAGCATTTTTTAACTGTATCTATATTTTGATCAACATGGAACTTGTTGTGACACTACTATTTTTTCTTAAGTACCCACACCACATTCTTTTTTTCGTCCTTCAACATATTTGCGTAGCTTCGTCTCCCATTACTACCTCTCCCTTCCACATTGGTTACAATGTTGGTCAATGGTTTTGACACTTTCGCATGGACAATATCTTGAGTTTCTCTCGTGATTTCTTGTTTATTAATACTATCGTTGAAACTATAATATTGTGGTATATAAAAGTGGCATGTTAAACATTTGGGACATAAGAGAATTTACTTTTTTAAACTAGGTATTTCATCAAACAGATAAAAGAAAGGATTATAATTTATTAGTTTAATTGTTCTTAAACTCTATTTGAATTAATTATATATTATTATTACATTGATGACTATTATGTTGGAATATATAATGTCTTGAAATATTAATTTTACATAATTTAAATATATAAATTATAATATATTTCTTTTGATTTATTAAGAAATAAGTTAGATGTATACACATGTCACTGAATTATCAGAGTCTTTCATTATTTTTTTTATGGTATAAATATGAAACAGAGAAAATAAATCATTTTTCTTTGTTTAATGAATCAAAATAGAAAAAACATATATGTTTAATGGAGAAACAATTATTTAACTCATTCGATGAGACTAAGAACTTCCCTGTCAAATATTATATAAGGTTGAATATTTTAACTCATCATAAAATTATTTTTACTAATGACCAATAATAATAATAGCTACTAATTGATCTTATATAAAAATAATATCATAATAAATATTAATAATTTAAAATATATTCTAAATAATTAATTAATTATAATCCACAATTAAATAAGATATTAACAATAAAAAAATATTAATATAACACCCTTCTATACAGAAAGGAAGATTCAAAACAAACATTTATAGATTTATATAGAAGAGCACGTACTAAGAAGATTAGTTAGGTGAGAAACCACAACGAGAGCACCAAGGGTGAAAGAAATGAAGGGTGAGGAAGACATTGATTTGGTGGTTAAGATGAAGAAGAAAGAAGTGTCAGGAAAATTGAAAGATAGGAATAGAGAAAGAAGGATCTCTCCTATCACAGAAAACATGTGCTTGCAACCCCAAAGACTAGAAAAGTTCACAACTTTAAACCCAAAAATGCATAAGATATGAAATGGGTATGTGGCATACTCACCCTAAACAAAGTTTCTGATGAGGATAAAAAAAAACAACAACTTTGGGAGATGATGGACTTGTGGTCAAAGAGAAAGGTGAAAGAATGGAAGAAAAGAGCGGTGTGGTGAAGGGAGGAAGCTAATTGAAGAAGGTTAACTTTGCTGATCTACCTCATTGTTTCAACATAGGTTCTCGATTCAAAGCCAAAGTTTGCATCTTTTCATCTTCTCTTTCACTATCTGCAAGTTTGGTGTTGGCAGGTTCTGATCGAAGGCAAATTAACAGCTGCGAAAGTTTCTAGTTGCAAGTACCAAAATGTGCAAGGGCTAGATAGCAACTAAGCAACCGCAGCAGCAACATCAATAAGAGCAAAGTCCGGTTAAGGGGAGAGGAGGAGTACTTTTGCAGGGGCTGAGTAGCAACGAAGCAACAATAACAACAACTAGACAGAGTCCAGGTGGAAGAGGAAAAGAAGAGCGATGATGGCAAATTTTGGCAAAGAGGAGAGAAAGAAGAAAATAATTATACAATAGCACTTAAAAATTATAAAAATTTGTTTAATTAAGTAAATAAGGACCTAAAATTGTTAGAGGAATATGCAGAAGTAAATATTGAATGGAAAACAAAAAAATGCTAACTTCTAACTATTGCAAATCAAGATTTGTTTTTCACTTAATTTAAATCTATTATCTTTCGTACTCAGTTAACAATATTTTATTTTAAATTTTTTAAAACTTTATTGGTATAAGCTTCTTCAGACGAATCCAAAATGTCTTCAGATTTTTTTTTTTCATGAATCTTAATACACATAACATAAAATGTCCCACTCATATATTTTATATTAAAGTTTTTTGAGAGAAACTGTTTCACATCATTAGTTACAAGCAAAATAACATCCATATATAAAATAAGAAAACAAATATTACTTGATAATTTGAATTCTCTCTTATTCGCGCATATGTTATTTTACATCTAACTCATCATGATTCCATACTTTCAAACTCGTCTTGATATTATACAATATCTAACACGGAATCACGTAAATTTTGTCTTCGATAATTCACTCTTTGTTCTGCCTTCTCCTATTCCTCCTCTTCCGTATTCTCCACACCATCTTTGGTCACTGTTTTTTTTTTGTGCTTATGTGGTTAAATCACAACCCTTCTCACCATCATCTGAACTTTCACCCTTCAAAGCATCTAAATTCAATGAAGTATCATCATAACTCTTAAACAACGAAGTATTTGAATCATGATACTATCACTCTCTTTAAATAGATTTAAATGATAATATTTAAGAATAATTAATCAAAATATAAAAATAAAAGACATTTCGTGTAAGAGAAATAATATAATTTATTTCAAAATAGCATAAATCCTAAAAATTCTCGTTCTCAAGTGATGATTACTCAAATTTAATATATTTGAGTTGATTAATAATATATATTGATCGACATAATTTCTTTAACTTGTTGTGTTGTCACAATTAAGATTACCACCAACAAAATTTAATTAAATTAAAAAGATATATTATTATTTTTTAAGTGTTTTTAAAAAATGATATCATATTCGAGAATCTAACTACGCTTAGATTTTAATTGTATTACATTCCTAATTCGATCAACTTCCAGGATTATCTTATGTCATTTATGTAAATTTATAATTTTAAAAAAATATTTTATTCATGTTTAAAATGTCAGAAAACAAGATAATTTATGAAATAAATTAAAGTTATATTGAAATAATAATAATTTTAAAAATTTAACTTTTTCTTAACAAAATAACACAATTTACATAAAAGAATTTGAAGTTACATATTTTTTATTTTATGATTTAGTTATATAAAATGCTAAAATTTATATATATTATATTTATAAATTGAGTTTATTGAGTCACATCTTATATATTATTAAGTTTTAGTTCAGTAAAATTCAAAATCAAATAAATAGTTTTATTGAAATTTTCGCTAAGTTAAATCCATTTTAAAATGTCCTAAAATACTCTTATAAAAATGAAAAAGAAAGTGGCCAAGAAGCTCAATAAAGATTTGAGAATTAGGTTATACTGGTATAAGTCTAAAAATTCTTACACATTACTACATATATAGGTTAAGATTCGTAAAGTAATAAAGTATAAGAACGTAAAAAGAGTTAATTTTTTAACCGTTAGATTATTGATTTGTACGGTTGAGATTTGGTAGCGCCAATAGATCTTATCCTTTTATATATATACAGTAGAACAAAATAATATTTTAAATAATTTTATTATTTGTATTATAAAATATTAATAGAATAAAGTCATATTTAATGAAACAATTTATTTTTTCATTTAAAACTCTCACTTTTGTTTTCCTTGGTTTAGGAAGTACGTGATAAAATTTTAATTAATATTTTTATAATTATTAAATTATGAATATATTTTTAGTTTATGTTTATAAAGTTTTAATCTCACTTTATTTATACTTATTTATATTATAGGACAATATAAAAATAAAATATTATTGGCATATGTAAAGTGTGTTCCTGTCGTCTATTATCTAAATAATTGATTTTGACCTTAAAAATGAACAGGGCAAGCATTATTGGCATATGTAAATCCTCAATATTTACACTAACAGCTTATTTTCGTTAGACAAGTTATGTACTAACGTGTAAGTGATAATTATTTTATAACGAATATCATTAACTAAACGCCTTAAGCATATATTTATTCAGTTCAACTACGCGCTAATTTAAACACATTTTTTTATAAACAGTTTAAACATATCTTTAATATTTTGATTTATTTTACTTATATAACTTAATATGATGTTGTGGTTATCATTAGTTATTTAGTACAATTCATTCTTATGAAATCTTTTTAAAACAAGCATAACTTAATTGATAATAATATCATTTATATTTTTCGTAATTCAATGCATTATATTTTACATCTAACTGTTACCTTTCCTAAATGATTTCTATTATTCACGTTTTAAATAAAAGCATGGAATTGTATAATTTCTGTTTTTAAAAATATGATATAATACAAATTTATCCAAAATTACCATAATTATATTAATTATTTACACAAAGTTTAAATACAAGGTTTTTATTTTATTTTATTTGTATGAGAATTATAGGTACAAGAAAATTGCCATAGCTTTATCAATTATTTACCCAAAGTTTACACCATGATTCTCGTTTTCCAATAACCACGAAATTATCATCCTTTTTGTGAGTAGCGATATACAATAAAAAGATAATGACAATTAATCAATTAATCAATCCTACAGTAGCAATTATTGTTAGATTTTCTTAATCTATTATGTAATTTCTATTATGCAATAACTATTATAAAATTACTTTTTCTCATTAAATCTTGAATTACGTTATTCTCACAACACAATACATGGTTCTCATACAATTAAGGGTTTAGAGAGCAATAACTTGAATCTATTGTTCCTTGATGTTACCTCTCTTATTGATGTCGTTGATCCCTTTGTATCTTTCCTAACTCTTCCTTTCTCTTTTAGCTCCTCTCGGATGGTTGAGAGAAAGTTCTTTTCTTGCGATTACTGTGAACACACTTAGAGGGCATGAAAGTGATAGAAAATAGAGAATACCGTAACCACTATTTGGTAACCGCTCTTTTATTTTTATGATGGGAGATGAGAGGTTTCCTTATAATTTATTTACAATTATACCATCTATGACTCTATATTTTATATTTAACCACCATCACATTAAATCATTAATTAGAGTCATGCTATAAGTTATATAGGCCACAATAATAAGATTATTAAAATAATCTAACAATTATGACTAACCTTAATCCACAAAATTCCTTTCTTAGGATTCATGCAATTTGAGAAAAACCTTAATGGAAAACTAATTCTCTACGGAGAATCATGAAATTCACAATTAATAACTCATACAAATTGTTAGATTTATTTCATTATGTAATTTTTATTTTTGATCTTACTATTATGAAATTATCTTTACCCACTAATCTTGAATTCCATGGTTCTCACATAAAATATAAGTTCTTACTTAATCGAGAGTTTAGGAAGTACTAACCTGAATCTATTAGCTTTGATGTGATCTCCCTTTGATATTTTTTACGTTTTGGTAATTTCTAGAAAAAAGAGATAGACCGTAACCCCTATCTTAATAACTGTTCTTTTATTTTATTTAAAGGGAGAGAGGAGGATATTCTTCAATACAATTATAGTTCACTGATTTTATATTTTATATTTAACAACTATTACATTAAATCTTTAATTAAAATCATTCTATAAGTTACATAAACCACTATATAGATAATTAAAATAATCCAACAAAAAAATTTAAATTTATATTTGACTTTCTTCTTTGTACTATTATTTAAGAATGTTGTGAAACCTAAATTAGGTAGTTGTTTTCTAATGTGAGTGTTCTAGGGTAGTGAGGTGGTTATGAAAAGAAAAATCTTTTTATTATGGAAATTTTTATGAATTATTTTTTTTATTTTGGAGTTTATAAATTAATTCTTGTGTTATAATTGTGTCAACTTAATTTCTCTATTTTAATGAAGTTCTCAAGTAGAATAGATAGTTTTTTTCAACAGACATTTCTTGAACAATCCAAAATAAAATTGGAGTTCATAATTTTAAGAGAAATAAGTCAAAAAAATTATATTTACTTAAATTTTATATTAAAATAAGATTCGATAAATACATTTGGAATTTTCTTAAGGAGAATAAATATCATAAACCACGACTTACTTCTCGTTGTGTCCATCTCACTAGGAGTGTGCAAATATCTTTCTTTCCCTCGTCTCATTAATGAGAACGTAGAGATTGGCTAGCTTTCCACTTCAATATTCCAAAGTTAGACTATCAAGGGATAGTGGAGGCTGATATGGATAAGGATAGCAGCCCCACAACCTAGGAAGACCAATCGGAGGTTACATATTACAATCGAAAATTTGAAAGGGTCTATAAGAGACTTCAAGCAAAGAGTCCATAGATGTCAGATAAGTGGGTTCAAAATTTAAAGTTGGAAAATACTAGTTAACCACTTTCACACAAATCCAATCCTTTCTCTCGATATATAGATATAAATAAATATGTCTATGTATTATATCATTCCTATTAATTTCTTGCTAATTATGATAATCTGTAGAAATAATTATATATTTACATCAGAGGGGAATCAAGAGCATACTTCACAACCGATCCTAGCTCATCCCAATTCTCAAACGTGAAGAAATCGTTTGCTACAGGCTCAATCCAAAAGTTCGAAGAAGGTGCAGCCAATTGAGGTGGTTGTGCCACGGGACAGCTTAACTCAGCCACATGAAACTGATGATGCCTTTGATCGTTGCTTAATGTGTTGCTGTTAATCACGGGCTTATGATCATTGTGATAATGGCCAAGGCTTGTGCCGAAATTGATAAACGCTTCACCATTGGTGTCGAACTCCACACTTCTCATTCTAGCGATCTTGTCAGTGGAAAGGCGCTTTGCTCCTAATTGTCTCAAATCTGGTGTGTACTTTCGCTGGGACACGTTTCTTTTGAAAATTCGACACAATGTCCAAATTTCCTGCACGTAGTAACAACCAAAAGTTGTTAATAATCAGTATCAACTATTGGTTTAATAATTAATTTAATGCATCTGAATGAATAAATCCCCATCCTTGATAAATTTGACTATTGACACGTCATATGAGTCTCTTTAAACATCATTCTTAAGAAATTAATTGATGATAGACACATCCAATCCCATTCTAGTGCCTAAAAGCATCAAATCACATTCTTATTGATCCTTTATGATGACTAACATTTCATATATAAAGTTCAAGTATTTTGTTTATCTCTATATTTTACAAGATTTTTTTTATAGTTTTAATATCTGATCTTTCTAAATTCACTACTCCTTTTGCCTCTTTTATTGACATTATGCATGGAAAAGTAAACACGTCACAGAAATCTCTTAAATTAGCTACTACATTAGTGATAAAACTAAAAGAAAAGTTAGATAACTAGAATCAAAATTTCACAAAGATATAAAAAGAAAAAAAGAACATATTTTAACCGACAATTATCATAACTAATGTTCTATGACTAAATTTGTTAAGGTAGAAGAATATGGGGTTGATTTAGTTGAAATTTCTTACAGCTTCTTGGGCAAGGTTGGTGTTGGCGTCACTATTAGAAGAGGGAAGGCGAAACTCGTGCATCATCCAATCAGTTTTGGTGCCTTTACCGGCACAGCCACGGTAGTAAACTAATGTTTTCTTGAGTCCTATGCAGTCACTGCCTTCTCCTCCAAGTGAGTAAACTGGCTTGTCTATCCCAGTTGCTTTCCAAAACCCTGAGCCAGTCACTCTGTTCGGCCTTATGCTATTCCTATACTTCCTCCCTCTTTTGCAAAAGAAGTACCACTCCTTCTCTCCACCAGTACTACTCGCTTCTGCGCACAGAGTTTCAAAAATATCAGAATTGCATTTATCACATGTATTTTGATACCAATTATTATTTGAATTTTGATATATTTTCTTATATGGATCTTGTTTTCTATGCATGCATGTTACTGCAAATCTTGCACTCTTGTATGAAACTAAGTGCTCGATCATAGCTGACCTAGTGATAATGATATTCATCGCAATGAGCAACTAGGAGCATTAAATGCTCAAAGTGCTTAGTATTCGAGCGGAAATGTTATTATTATTATTATTATTATTATTTCTTCAGTTTTTAAATATTTGTCTCGTTAGTTAATTTTTTTTAAATAATGGTCATTTTATAATTTTAAGATAAAATTATTTTTTTTTTATTTTTACTCTTAAAGATAATATATCTCAAAACTCAATTTTTATCTTCTTTCTATTTATTTATTGCATAAATAAATTCCAAAATGTGTATAATAAAATATTTCATAACTGTATTTTCTATTTTTTGTACCACACCATGGAAGGATTACTTTATATCATACCTTCTAATGTATCATTTCAATTACAGTATAGTAAGTGCCAGACAGTAATAAAAATGTAGTTAAGATAAAAGACAGTAATTACACATAACTAAAATAGCACATGTTGATTAAAGAATTTCTTTTGGGGTAAAATTACAAACGTCGATGAAAGAATTAGTCAGTTAATCCTCTACAGGGAAAATCAAAAGCACGTAAGGGTATGCTAATCAAACTGTGCTTGTTATAAAATTAGTGTTTGATAGTACAACTTTCTCTATCGGGTTAGATACAATTCCAAAGATTATTCTTCATATTTTAATAATGTGAAAAATTATCTAAACGATTTGATAGCTTCAGAAAAGTGTTTTAGTAAAAGAATAAAATAAAAATATTCAGAACACTACATAAATAATAAGAAAAATATTAAGAATCACATTTAAGAATATTAAAAAATTACGGGAGAAATGTATTTATAGCGTTTTTAATATTTTTTATTTAATGTTAAAAATATATTGGTTGACACTTCCCTTTTTAAAAAGAAAAAAAGCAGAAGAAAACATATAAATAACATGCAAACAATTAAATAGTAAAAAGTAAAGACATACTTGGAAGATCCCAAGGATCATATTTGTAGATATCAATCTGTTTGATGAGTTCGAGACTAGTGGGTTTCTTGTCAAGCTTCCGGCGAAGATAGAAAGCTACTAGTTCTTCATCTGTGGGGTGGAAACGAAACCCTGGAAGAGGACCTTCATCCTCCATGTATTCATCATCCTTATAGTTGAAATCATCAAAACCCATTTTGAATTTGTTCTTTCTTCTCTCTCACCTTTCTGTGTTTGCTTTTCTCAAAGGAAGATGAAAGTGCTGTGGAACAATTTCAACAAAGCAGAGAACCTTCTTTTTATATTAAATTGTGAAGAGTCATTGGATGTGGATGGCTTTCTGAGCAAGGTCAAGTCATGAGGTTTGACTTATACCCTCATAAATTTTGCTGATGGACTCGTTCCAACGCTTGAAGTATTTTAATTGATGCATATGAGGTTGGAACTATTCCATACAGCTACTTTTCTTCTTATGTTTGGAAGCCACCAATAATTGCTTCAATATGGGTTTGTGTAATAAATGATTTACAACTGCAATTTTTGTAATATGACCTGTACATGCGTTGAACGTATAAATCAAAATCAAATCAGCACACCAAAGTTATAGATTTACATACATTAGTCAGATGAAACTTCAAGTTTAATTTACAAGTAAAACTGCACCTAAATTTTATCCATCAATAAAATCATTAAAAAGTAGCCATAAAATATGAAACTTTTCTTTTTCTATTCTGAATTTTATTATATCTTATTACATATCCTTCTAATAATTTTTAGGTTGTGATAATTAGTTCTGTCAGACCATTGGTTAAAAAATTAAAAGTGAATTATGTTAAATTGCATTTAAAATAATAAAAAGAAATATGTTTATTATTTTTTTATTAAAAAATCGTGTTTACCTAATTTTTTTATTATTTTAAAAAATATTAAATAAAAAACATGCATATTTATAGTCTTAAAAACATAAATTTACTATTTAATATTTTTATATTTAATAGTTAAGAGGATTTATAGATGTAATTATATGTAACACAGAGGAATTTAAGGTTATTTAAAATAAAAAAATTGTATAAATCAAAATAATTTAATTTAATTTAATTTCAAGGTAGATAAACCGTATTTTCTTATTTAATACATATTTACTCATTCTAGAGAAGTCTTGCACTGTGTATTTCTTTTGGGTATGGATTGGAATTCTCCTTGCATAATAATACTATTTCTTTATGAGGGAAATCTGGCTGCTAAGAGAGTTATTTGGGTCTCATTTCTAAAAGAAATCTTTTTATGACTAAAATTCAAAACAATTGATTAATTAACCAGTAAATTTTTATTTTAATTCTTAAAATTACAAGTATCAGATATTTTAGTAATTAACTTTATGAAATCTTCACTCTAATATTTGAATTCATAAAAATATAATTTTATTATTATTTGTTGATATTGGAAATATTAAAATAAAGATTAAAATAAAAATGTACTCATTAATTAATACAGTAATAATACCTAGTCTTAACTTAACACATGCTTAACTATTATAATTATTTTTTTATAGATCTTGCACATCTGATTTTTAAGATTGAAATAAAAGAGAATTTATATAAAGTGTATTTTCATTTTCTTTTAACGTGCTTTTTAAGATTTTTATTATAATATCGGTAAATTTGAGAGAACATTTTATATTTTTTAAAATTTACAGTTGTAAGTATTTTAATATTTAAAAAATTAAAAGATATTTATATATATTTTAAAAAGAATATTAACATTTATTATTTATTACATATATTTAATATAAAATAAATGTGAAAAAATTATCTTAATTTACAAGATTTTGGTATGAGATTTTGAATCCATCTACACGCGCAATTTGAATATCTCTCGTAGGCTTTCAGCAGGCGAGGATCGATTACTAGAATCAATTTGATGGAAGATGCATATATCTCCATCAAGATTTTATCTATATTTATTCTACCTTAGAAGGAAAAAGTCTTGATGATATATAATCTAAGAAAGCAAAAGCCATATAATTAAGGCCATTGCGATATGGGAAATTAAAAATTAATTTCAAATTTAAAATAAATGAATAACATAAGTAACTATTCCAGTATAATAAATTAATTTTTTTTGTAACTCTCAACACCCGTATTTATTTACAAATAGAATTTTCATATTATCCTCTCTAAGACCAGATTTAATTGGGGAGGAGGATATACTCTCATAACATATCATTCTTCTTGGAGTCCAATTAGCTAAAAATTGGCACAGCTTCTTTATATACATAATATAAACTAACTTTTCTATAAGATTGAATCAAATTTCTAATCTCTTTAACTATAGAATATAAATTGTGTCCAAAGGAAAGATGAAAATTAACTAAATTTACATAAAGCCTACAAGAAGGGTCTAAAGTTTAGTAAGTCTTTCAATAAAGCCATCTTGAATAATCTCTAATCAATCTCTCACAAGGAGTCTCTCGATTAGGATTACGAATATATCCATCCACATTAAGCTTGAATTTACATAAAGGAAGTGAAGTCTAGCCTATCGGGAATTATTTTTTACAAGTTCTGTGGATTATGAAATGATTCAAAATAAAATCAAAATTTATATGTTGCACGTAATAATGCATTTTTTTAAATAAAAACCTTCAGAATTATTATTTTCCTATTAAAAATCTAAACATTTTTATTTAACCATAGAAGCCGAATTTTAACACCAAATAGGATATTCCAATTATTAAATCTATTTAAACTTTTTTCACTCATATTAAAAAAAAACATTTAAAGAGATCAAAGCAAAAGAAAGAACACTAATTACTATAAAAAAAATTAACATATTCCATGTGTGAGAGCCAGAATAGCAACCTCTAAGAACATCCATCACACAGTTTCAAGATCATCACTACAAATACTACATATATCAAAATATGAAATTCTCCTTTTTTTTTTCTCTTTATTTGTTAGTAATTTGTTATGAGCCATCTTTCAAAGAAAAATTTTATGAAAAGACTAACTTAGAAAAAAAATACTAAATTAAATTAAAAAAATTTAAAAATTAAAATAAATTTTATCCTAAAATTAAGAGATAAAAAGACTAAATTTACCTGCCTTTTACAAATACTTTGATTCATGTTTTTTTCTTGAACATCTAAGAATCTATGTTATTTTGTTACGACTATTTTGTACATGATTCTTAACATATTATAAAGAAGATCATATATCAAATTTTATACAATTTTAACATTTATAAATATATAATATAATAGTAACTAACTATTTACTTACATTTTAAATAACAGCTCACACTTTAAAATAAAATTGAGCAATGAAATATTAAATAATTTTTTAAAATTTTATAGAAATGATATATTTTATGAAAAAATTAAATTCAGCAGTTAAATTAGTACAAATCACATTTGATAAAAAAAAAATTCCTTATTAATGTATCATTTTATTAAGAATTTGCCTTTAAATATGGTATGTATTGGTGTGGAAAATTTTCTAATCAATTTTTTTAATGAAACTCTAATGTTATTTAAAAACAAAATTGTAATACTAAATATAGTAAGTCTTTTTTCCTAACTGAATATAATTTTTTTAAAGTAAAGTCGCATGTGTAAAATAAAAGATAAAAACATGTTTAATATTGATTTGAAATTAAATATTTTACAAACATAACTAATTTTAAACTAAAGATAAACATAATTTATTTATTTTTATTTTACACCTCTTCTTATTTTAAATAAAGAAAATCCTTAATGACAACAAATGAAAATGCATCCCCAAACACAAACTTTTAAATTTATGTATCCTATAGAGCTCGATAGATTTAGTATTTTTAAGATAAGGAATAACTTTGTTAATATCTTTAATTCATATTTTGGAAAAATAAAATCTTAAAATTGGAATTTTATTTATTTCTAAAAATTATTTTGAGTAATTTATGCATAAAAATTGTAGTTATAAGTATAGCTAACTTTTTTAAAGCTTAAAGATAATCCATCGCATTGCAGGACTTTTTATGCCACACTTTATAAAGGACAAATTTTTTAAAATTAAATTAAAATTTTAACTCAATAATATTAAATATAATTTTTTTTATCAAAATTATATTCTTATTTAATTAATGAAATAATGATAAGAATATTAACAAATTAACAAATTACAACCAAAGTTATCTCTTTATGTCGACGCTTATAACAGCATTATGTTGACAGTCATGAATTGCGAAGATAACGTTATCGTTACTTCGTTCTAAGGGTAACTTGTTTTGCTGCTGCTACTACGAATTTTTATAATTTATATTTGATTCAATATTTTAGCCTTAGAAGAAAAGGAAGAGAAGATCAAAAATTTTTCTTATTCAAAATAGTTTCCTTAACACAAGATTAAATTGTTTCTAATGCTGATTTTCATGACGATTGGGGGATATAAAAAGAAACCTCCAAATAATACTTTTGTTTCTTAAATCTGTGCAGAAGGAATTTAGTAAGAGATCAAATTTGCTTCGGTCAACACGATAAGAATTAAATGTACCACCCATTTGTCAAAATTGTTCAGTCCTATACCAGTCAATTACAATATCTTCTAGAATTCACAAATTACATTCAGATACCATAAATATGTATTAAATTTAAAGTCTATATAATTGAATTAAAAAATTATTTCAACTACACTAAAATTCCATATAATTGATCTGGTGTGAATATTGGGGTGTGGGACCAAATATTTCTTTACTGTAATTTGTGGATGACACATTGATTACGAGAGATGTTTCGGTTCAGAACTTGTGGACTTTGAAAGTAGTATTGCGTAGCTTTGAGTTAATGTGAGGTATGAAAATTAACTTTCATAAAAGTTGTGTATTGAAGATTAACACTGACAATGACTTTGAAAATTTGGCTATAGAATTCTTACATTGTAAGATTGGTAGCTTCTCATTAAAGTATCTTAGGTTATAATTAGATGTTAATCCAAGAAAGCCTAGTGCATGAAAGGGTGTATTAGAGGCTCTTAACAAGAGGTTGGTGTCATGGAAGTATAGGTATTTATCGATTGGAGGCAGGGTGACTTTGATTAATGTTATTCTTAATTCTATGTCATTACACTGTTATCCTTTATTAAGGCGCCGAAGTCGGTGATAAAGGAGATTGTCACTATCTAGCAAAATTTTTTATGGAAGAGTGTTAAGGATGGATCCAAAATTCCCTGGGTGAAATGAGAAACGGTTTGTAGACCACAAAAGAATAGTGGCTTGGGCATTAGGAATGTGCAA